GCTGTATGGAAAGTGAATTTGCTCTGTAAATCTTCACCCAAATAAAAATAAATAAATAAATAAATTTAAAAAATAATAATAATAAAAGAGTAATTTTGTGCATATAGATTCTTGGCCATTACTTTTGTCTGCTATCAAAGCTTAGAGCATTTTAAATTTGCCTCTGTTTCATGATGTATCTTAAGGTGTGAGTGCCTCTTCTTGAATCAAGTGCTGTGTAGAAAATATTGAGCTAGAAAATAGTGATACTTTTTCAGAGCATATCATCATTTAAAACTTAATTCTATTTGAGGCCTTATCATTCATTTCAGTTTTAAGGCACTTAATAAATCCTTACCTATGTCTGTTACCATTTACTATGTACTTTCTAAGTACAGTGCATTGCCACTGGTTTTGACTCAGTTTTGAAGAAGCTGTAGTGTATGTTTTTTGCTTAAAAAAGGTTGTTTTACTTCTCAGAAGATACACATTACTAGGTCTGTTCTTTCATAAAGGTTGTTACCTACCTTAATGAATGGTGGGTAGAGATGATTTAGCATAGTACTCATAGATAATAAAGCTTTTTAATGTTTTGGGATGCTCAAATAAGTTTTCTTCCTATGGTCTTATTTATAATATCATTTTTAAACATACTGTTCATGTTAATGAGAAGTTCTTTAAAATTTACCCTTCTTCAATCTGAATTACTCAAAAATAATAGTTAAAATATTTTATCATACTGACATAGAATTCAGTGATGGCAAAAGCTTCTCTTTTTGGGAGGGACACTCATTTACACATAGTGATACTGTTTCCAGCTTACTAAATATTGTGGCAGTGAATATAATAATGAAGTTGCTTCCGTGACCAAGGAGTAATGAACTCTTCACTCTGCCTACAGACCAAGTCTGTGTTTGAGATTGGACTCTGCAGTAATAAAATGTTTTGCTATGCAGTTCTTGGATCCATCATGGGACAGTTACTAGTTATTTACTTTCCTCCACTTCAGAAAGTTTTTCAGACTGAGAGCCTAAGCATACTGGGTAAGTAAAATTTAATCTTTATAATTTACATATTTTAGATGAATTGTCTTAAGTGTTTCCTAATACATTTTCTCTTAAGATTTTTCTTTTTAAACAATGAAATATAAATTTATTGACTTTATTTGAGAAAAGAATATGCTCTGTTTCTTTACTTGGAAAAGTTCAGGAAGTCACTCTCCTAACTCTGTTGTTTGGTGGTTATACTTGAGTTGATTCTCACTCATGGCACCACAGGACACTTTCGGGTGGTTTCAAACCACCAATCTTTTGGCTGGTAGTTGAGTGCTTAACCGTTTGCATCACCCATGGACTAAGTCTATGCTTTGTGATTAAAAGGTTTTTTTTTTTTTTTTTCCTTTTTAATAGATTCTCATTTACTCAAATTTACTCATTTACTCTCATTTATATCATATTGGTGATTCCAAAGTGAGACAACTCAAAATCTGTTATAGAGTCATTATAGTTTAACTATTTTTCTTTTAAGTATTTTTTCAATCTTACATATATAGAAAAAAAGATAGATGTACACACTAAAAGCAAGTTGTTTTTAAAATTATAATATTTGATAATTAAACTAATATTTTACTATTCTTGCTAGTTTGCATATTCTGATTTTTATGAAATAACAATTTGGCTTTATAAATGCCAAAAGCTGCAGTAAGAATGTATGGAAGTTAAACATTATTATCCACATAGGGAGGCAAAAAAAACCACTGCCATGGAGTCGATTCATACTCATAGCATTCCTCATTGGGTTTCCTCCAAGGCGGTAAATCTTAATGGAATTAGTTTGCCCTATCTTCCTTCCATGGAGTGGCTGGTGGGTTTGAACCGCCAACCTTCTGTTTAGCAGTCAAATGCCTTGGGCACTGCACCACCACCACTGGAGATGTATCAGGATATGGTTGTTGTTGTTGTTGTTATTTGCCGTCGAGTCGGCCCCGACTCATAGCGACCCCTCCTTGGGTTTCCAAGGCAGTATCACTACGGAAG